TCCTTTTAAAATTGGATGATAATTATATTTTACACCAAACATGGTGTCGCAAAGGCATATATTCTCATATAAGACAACTAGGAGGTCTTAGTTTCAGAAAAGTCCTCGATGTAACTTTGAAATATGCATTCTGATGTAGTGTTAACACAGGATCTGCGAATGACTTTCTTCAGTTTTCAAACTAAAAGCCTAATATCAACTAAGTCACTTTTATATCATCTTAACATTGTGTTTGCTTCACTTGCTTTTGTTTTGGTAACTACGGTAGTAATTCAAGAACAGGTGACATTCACGTATCATACACCATATGATCGCATCTGTTAGGGTTTTTAAGTTTTATCACATTTAATTCTTATAATTTTATGTAATAGTTATAATTATCCCCATTATATAGATATAGACAGAAAGTGAAAAAGGTAGTGAATTTGCTCAAGATCACATAACTCACATTTGAAAATCAGACATAGTGACTCCACAGTCTCTGCACAATACTCTCCTAAAACGGATTACAATTCCCTCTTGTAATGTTTGCAACCAGGCCGTTGACACTATACGGCATTCCATGCATAATTAAATTGCTTGGGTAAGTATTATCTTTATCCCCATTATGCATATGTGGTAACTGAGTAGCTGACAGGTTAATCAGCTCAAGGGCAAGGAGCATGAAAGAGGCAACTGTGGGATTTGGAGACCTGGTGGCCAGGCTGCAAGGGACTTAATCACTGTCCTCTACCCTCTCTTATAAACCTGCTTTTGCTCACAGAGGAAGCAATCTGCCCTTAAGGATTATCATTCCTGACAGCCCAAATCACAGCTCAGCCCTCTGTCCTGTTGGCAGGACTCCTCAATCCGAGACTGATGTGTCTGGAGAAGTACTCTCTCCGCTTTGTTTAATCTACAGTCTATTGCATAGCCAAAAATGAATGCTTTGCACAAAAGCACATGTATTGGTATATGCGGGAGGAGGAAACTGAAGAAGGATCATTTTGAAGTGTTGTAGTGTCTACCTTCTATGTGAGTGCTTTAAACCAAGAGCAATGATATGCTGATACATAATTTTGGCTGACTAGAATATTTTACTTCAAAAACATAAATCAGTTTCCACCTTTGGATTGTTAGATCTGGATGGTAAAACGGTGATGTTAATAATCCCAATAAAATGAAATCACACTAGTTGGAGGATCTCGTGTCTAAATGCACTTTCAAATAGTCACTGACAAAAAGCAATGGCAAATTGTTTCATCTGTGTTCTTAGTGTTTTAACATCAATAAGAAGCTCTATTTGCTATTCTGAGAGACACAAGTATAAAGTTGTGTGTTCACTCTTGTGACCCTGGCAACTGTGTGAGGTACCTGCCATTTGGAGAGTGACTTCTTTGGCTGCCACTTTATGATAAATACACCTTGAGTTTCCTTTAGATCACTAGAAAATAAGGCAGCTGGTCCATAAGAGAGAATAGCTTTAGTGATGAACGTTGAGTCTCATACATAGAATAAGTCCTCTGTAGATTAGTTGTGGAATATGTGCTTTGTCCGAAATACTAAAAGAAAAAGACCTGGTACTGAGGTTTAGTTTCTGAGACCACATGCTGCCCATAATCCCTCAGTGCTACACTGGGAGACCGCGGCCTTGAAGGTTCGTTATCCACCAATAAACACAGTTATTAGAGTCTTCCGCTCTCTGGAATACTGAGGTATGTGGCCCAGTCAGAGTTAACATTTTGATAAGTAATATTAATCAGTTTAAAATATCTATTGAATATTTACTACAAGCCGAGTAAGCCTAAGCCATTATGAGAAGTTAAACATTAACTTTCTTTCTTTTTTTTTTTTTATAAAAAATGCGTGGTCACAAGCCTTGAACAAATGTATACAAAAAAGATAAACATATACTGTTAAAACTTAAAAGGTACACGTGAAATGGGATTTAAGGAACGGCCAAGTTTTCTGGCAGGTTGGAGTAATATTTTAAGACTGTACGAATAATAGAGTTTTGATGTGATTTGGATGGCAGAACTGAGAAGGGGTATCTGGGGCAGGTAGAAGGAGGGAGGGGTGTGTGGACACGGTGCTGCGGATGTCAGGAGTGTGCTGGGAGCAGTGGGCTACAGGCGTTGGTGCGCTGAGTGCATGCGAGTCTTTGAAAGAGCATTGAAAAGGTAGGCTTGATTTGGTCTGCAGGCAGTGCCATTGTAGTTCTTAACCAGAAGAGAAATGAGAATCTTTAATGTATGATGGCATTTATGAGAGGAATATTCAGACAAACAATATAAAGGAAATTCAGAACCCAATATAATGCTAAATTGTGGATGTCTGTAAAACAAAATTTATTTTTGTCCAAGGTAGGTAAAATTTTACACATTGCTACTTTTTTTTTTTTTTTTTTTTTGAGAAAGGTCTAACTCTGTCACCCAGGCTGGAGTGCAGGCACAATTTCTGGCTCACTGCAGCCTCTGCCTCCCAGGTTCAAGCGATTCTCTTGCCTCAGCCTCCCAAGTAGCTGGGAATACAGGTGTGCTCCACCATGCCCGACTAATTTTTGTATTTTTAGTATAGACAGGTTTCATCATGTTGGCCAGGATGGTCTCGAACTCCTGGCCTCAGGTGATACACCCACCTCAGCCTCCTAAAATGCTGGGATTACAGGCGTGAACCACCACGCCTGGCTTACACATTGCTTCTTAACCATGTAAGGATCTGCTTGTTTTTATTTTTCATTTCCACAGCAATTCTGTAACTATTAGCAAAAGTAGGGAAGAAAATTCATAGAGAAATACCTACAATAATACAAAAAACCCCACAGAAAACAGCATAAACAAAAGACAGGCTAACTCTCAATTAACCGGCACATTTGCATAATTAGTTAATGCAAGGAAGCATGTTAAAATCTGATTTATTGACATCCCTAGGTTACCTATTGCATTCTTGATAAAACCGTTAATATTTAATAACTGACCCTGAACATTGATGGTTTCACAACTACTAAGCAGCAGAAACAAACACAGTTACATCTGGATTATTTGGAATTCAAATTTCAGTGCTCTTACCAACATAATATTGCACCTCACTCACCAGAGTGCAGTGTTATTATTTTGTTTAATTTTTTAAACTATCCCATCCTATTTAACAATAATTGTAATAATTTTTCCTACTCATTATAGAAGGTCAGTAAATATTTATCTTCTTTTTAAAAGTATTTCTTACTTGGTGGGTAATTGTACTTTCAAAACTACTACGATTTGTTAGGTAGTAAGTATTTTAAGCATTTTTACAAAAGCGTTTTGCAGCCATTCTAATATAAAATTTGCCAAAATCTCCTTTACATGCAGTGTACAAATTTTTACAACATTCACTATCTGCTTAACAGACTTTATCAGTTCTGCAAAAGCCGTTATAATCAGCTACAGAAATTCAAATTTAGTTGATTACAAAGCAGCAGGTCTTTGCAATAATATATTGGATTATTAAATTTTACATTATGAAAGGTTTATACAGAACAGTACTTAACAAATCAGTAGCACAATAAAATGTTAACTATGATACCTTTTTCCAAAATGACTACTACATGTTTTCTACTCTAATTTTCATTTTTCAAAATTACTGTTACATGCTTGTTATTCTTTAACCAGGAAGGTGAGTTCTAAATGAACAAAGAGGAAACTGTTTTGGGTTGGGGGAGGAGGTAGGGCTGAAGAACCAGGAAGAATCACGTTGCTTGAATTAGCTATGTGTTTGCCTTACTTTTCGCTTTCAGAATTTGAGTGTTGTTTGTTCTAAAAGGATTTCTCTGGGAGTATTCAAATACAGAGAGTTGCCTTAAGTATATCAAGTTGTAAAGTACTGTTTTGACAGTTTTGATTAGTAAAGAAGCAAACTTTCTAACACTTACGTGGTATACAGTTTTGAAAGTGAAAAAAAACTCATCATAACATGACTGCAGTGCCTAAATAGTACTGATCATTAGTGAATCTTCATTGTCTACTTACTGGAAGTTAATGTGTTTTCGCGTGCAGTAGATTTTGCTAGAATGCCTGTCCTTAAAAGGATTGTAGACCCATTGTTGAAAAAAGAAACACTCAAATTACATTTTATCTGATATGTGGAGTGAATACAAAGGTAAAAACAAGTTAGCTCTAAGAGCACTTTCTGTACGTCATAATCCACAATGCAACATTACTGTCCAGACTATTAATGTCCTTAAACTATTCTGTCACTCTAATAAGCAAATGTATTTTTCCCCATATTGAAATCATGTCTAACATTTTACATTGCTATATTAAACTCACATTTTTCTCATTATTTAGCCATATTTTATACCTTCTTGAAATTCTTATTTACCTCCCAGTCCCCTCACTGTGCATTGTAATCTGGAGATAATGATCACTGTACATCACATCACTAGAATGTCTGAAACACATGGATAGTAAGATAATTTTATCACCATATATATTAAATGTGGTAAGCATAATTTTTTATGTTCAGGATTAATGTTTTGATGATTTTCAGTTTCCATGGCATTTTTCTATTCTTAAGTAATGTCACAGGGTTTGCATTAGTATATTTAATTTGTTAGTGTTTGGTTAAGTATATATTTTTCAAAATTATTTTAATATTTCAATTAAGTGTTTAGAACAATAAAACTAAATGTATACATCCTTAATTTTTGTATGAAGTATAATTTATGCACGTGGTAGATGCTTCAGGTTTGCTAAATGTATATGCCTACTTAAAAAAATGTGGATAAGGTACCTCATTTTAATGATGGAAAATACCCTACGGCATTTTTTTAAGCTGAGTCTCTCTAGAGGAATGCCAACACTTTTAGTAACACAAGAAATAATTACCACTACCACACCATTTTTGAAATCACATGGCAGATCATTTATCTCAGTGTGTGGCCAATTATCAGTCTAACCTTTTTAGTTTTAGGTGTGAATGTGAGTGATTTAGTACTGAACAACAGTTATAACTTTCTTCCTTTATCTTGTTCTTGTTTTTAGCTCCTTGTGAAGGCAACACATTCTTCTGCCATAGTAACATGTGTATTAATAATACTTTGGTCTGCAATGGACTCCAAAACTGTGTGTATCCTTGGGATGAAAATCACTGTAAAGGTAATGATGAGTCCCTAAAATCTGAAAACATTTCCTCCCTGTGGAGTGAGGTGGAAGTTTATACACATCAGACAGTCTTTAAAATCAGAGTATCTAGTGCCTTTTATGAGCTCTGCATATGTCTTATAATCAATTTGGAAGCATTTTTCTTAGCCTTTCCTCATGTTGTGTCCAGATGTTTCTTTATTCATGGACTATCCTTAGCACTTCAGTTCTCATTAAAGACATCGCCTGATTAGAGCCTGCACAGCTATGAAAAGAAAACGGGAGCTTTCAGGGGAGCACACCACGTTCCTTTCACGTGTGACACCATCTGTTCATGGCTACACCTCTCATTCATTCCAGTTTGACTTCACTGGACTTTATGTACATACTGTAGAGATAAAATATATTGAAGGAGCATTTGTACTTTCAAATACTTCCAGCTACTTCATTCCACTTCAGTTTTGCTACGAAAATGCTCTTCTTTCCAGTGAACATAGTAGCTTCCAGTGCCCTTGCCTCCTTCCCTTGTCTATACATACAGGCTTGTTTATGTAGACAGGGATCCTTGGCTAGATTATGGATATTGCATGTTTTAGTTAAGATGAAATTGCCATGTAAAGCCTTTTACTGAGATCCAATATTAAACAATTGCAAAAGAAGATAGGCAAATAACTCTTTCATGCTTGAAGTCCAGTATTATCTACTAAAATGCCTTCTGTGCATAGAAGTGGAGAAATAATACCACAGTATTCAATGTTTCATACAGTCCGTAAGAAAGACAGTTACACTATCAACTATTTTGACGTTGGGATGTTTTTGATTACTTTCGTGTCTACTTCTGAATGGATTAGAAATTACTTTCTGAGTGATCTTATTGCATACCTGTTAATAATTAGTAGTTACCGTCGGCTTTGTTTGTCCTCTGTAAATTTGTTTCCATATATGTAAGAAATATTTGACATGTGATGGCAATCAACAAATGTGAGTGGATGTGCATTATGAAACTCCATATTTGTTCTTTTTCCAGAAAGAAAAATGATTCTTCTAACTTTTAATTCATTTCCCTGTGATAGGAGAAAAAAATTGTATTATTGCGATCATTTCTAATTTATGGAGGTTACATCAACGACAAGCATGCGGTGCAGCCTAAAGTTTGTTCCATGTACCCTTGAAAAGAATTTGCCGTTGTTGGATAGTGTGTTCTATAGATGCCTGCTGTGTGTGTTCGGTTTACAGCATTGTTCAAACCTGCTGTTTGCCTTTTGATTTTCTGCCATGTTTTATTCGTTATTGAAAGTGTGTGTTAAATGCTTCAGCTATCATGGTTGAATTGTCTACTACTTTCTCCACTTCTGTAAAATTTTTATTTCATGTGATTTCAAGCTTGGTCGCTAAACTCATATATGTGTGTAATTGTTATACCTTCCTCATGACCCTTTTATCCCTAAAAAACAATCTTGTAGATTTAGTGCAATTTTTTTCTTAAGTTTTATTTTTTCTAACATTAGTATAGCGACTCCACCTTTCTTATGATTTGCTTTCCATTCTTTTCCACCCTTTTACTTTCAGACTATCTGCGTGTGTGACTATAAGGTGTTTCTTTTGTAGACAGTGCATATTTGTATCTTATTTTTTATCCAGTCTAAGAATCTGCCTTTTCATTGGGTTGTTTTATACATTCACATTTAGTACTGTCTTTGATGTAGTTGGACTTACATATTCCATTATACTCTTGGTTTCTAAATGTCTCATGTATTTTTTCTGCTTTCTTTCTTTATTTCTTTTTTTTGCATTAAGTTAGCATATTCTAGTGCAATATTTGAATTCTTTTACAGTTGTTAATGAATTTGTTTTTACTTACTTTCTTAGTTGCTTTAGGACTTATACAACTTAACTTCTAATGTATTTTAGATTTATACTCACTTACTTTCTTAGTTGCTTTAGGACTTATACAACTTAACTTCTAATGTATTTTAGATTTATACTCACTTGATTAAAGTGAGAAACAGAAACATTTTTCCTATAAGTTCTATTCTTTCTTTTTTCCAATTATATTTGTACATATTACATTTTAAATGTTACAAACCCAACAAAAATACATTGCAATAATTATTACTTTATACAACTTTCTTTTAAAGTGGTTGGGAAAAGAAAGGACAGCTATTATATATTAGTATAATTTTTAAATACAATCCTTATTTACTATTTCTGGTTTATGTAGATTTGCATTACCCTGGTGTCATTTCCTTACCCAATAACAGTTTTGCTCCCACCTTGTTTATACCATACTGTCACTATGTATATTGCACTTATGTAAGTTACAGTCCAACCTTACGATTATATACACAGAACATTGCTTTTTAAAAAAGTTAAGTGAAGAGTGCAGAGGTGCCACTCGACTGTCCTTTGCAATTATTTCCATAATCACGGTTAGAGACCATATTTACTTGCCTGTTTAATTTATTAGTTGTTCAGTTTTTTCATATTATTTGAGTTACTGTCTGAGGTCACTTATATTCAACATGAACTCTCTTCAGTATTTATTTTAAGGAAGCTCTTGTCTTTGAATTATCTTCATTTTTGTCTCTCTTAAAATGTCTATTTCATTTTTGAAGGTAGGTTTGCTGCATAGTGGGTTCTAGGTCGACAGGTTTCTGTTGGGTTTTTTGGTAGTTGGTGTTTGGTTTGTTTTGCTTTGCTTTTGCCTCGGCACTGAATGTGTCATCCTGTTGCTTTGTGGCCTCCACTGAGGATAACTCGGTTGTTAATCTGATTGGGGCTTCTTTCTATGATGACTTTTTTTTTTCTTTTTTTCTCTGTTGCTTTCAAGATTTTTTTTTAGAACAAATTTTAGGAGTCATATGTCTTTGCACAGATATATTTGCATTTCTCCTGCTTGGAGTTTGTTGAGGTTGGATGTGAGTTTTCTAATTAAGTTTGGGAAGGTTTAGCTCTTCAGTTTTTGTTGTTGTTGTTGTTACTTTCCGTCTCTACTTTGTTTCTTATACTCTCGTTACATTGTGTTAGTGTGCTTGTAGATTTGCCACATTTCTTTTTCTGAGGCTCTGTTATAGTTCTGCATTCTTGTCTTAAACTCATTTTCCTATTGCACCATTCTCATTCCTCTATCTTTATAAAGTAAGCTAACACTTTCTTCTTCCAGCTGAAATGCACTGTTGAGGCTAATAACACTGTTCAATCCCAGACTTGCCATTTTCATATGACTTATATTTCTTTATTAATATTTTCTATTTGATGAGCATCTTCTTTAGCCTTTTCAGTCATAGTTCCTTAGACATGTTCATTATAGCTGCTTGGAAATCTTTGTCTGCTATCTCTGATATCTGGCTCCCCAAGGGTCCTTTCATTGCCTGTTTTTTTTTTTTTTTTCCTATTTATACATTTCTCTTTCCTGTTTCTTTACATGCCTTACAACGATTTGTTGAAAATCACGTGTTAGATTTGTAGCATCTCTGGATACTCAGTCTGTAGTTTTCTTGTTTGTTTCTAAATGTAGACTTGGCTGGACCATTTCAGTGAAGTTTCTATTGTTGCACCACAGAGGCCATCAAGATGGTGCCTTGAGCTTTGCACCATCACCCTTGGGCAGCATGGTGTTAGCAGTGCTCTCCGCGCCTCACTTCCTGTTCTCTCTATTTAGCTATCACCTCTGCTGGTATTGCAGCCAGTCATTAGTCTCCACCGATTGCTGACGGATGGCTCTACTGCTTTCAGCAATGCCCAAGATCATAAATTGTTTTACAGTCTGGTCAATTAAATTTAATTAATAGCAAGGGTAGTCCTAGAGTCTAGCCTTTGTGAGTTGTTATAATGCAGGAGGACTCTCTCATTAGCTGTTACTCCCCTAAATTGTTCTGTTAAACTTCTAGAGGTTCTAAGGTTTGTCTTATTGCTCTTAATGCATGAACTGCCTTTTAATTGCATACCAAAAAATATCCATAGTTTTTGAAATTATCTTTAGGCTTGAGCATCTCCACACACCATTTCAAATTAACCTTATTTAGGGGAAGCTCTAATGTTTTCTGTACTTGTAGCCTGACTCTCTCTCTGGGCACAACTTCAGCACTAGTGTTCTGGATGGGGCGGGAATAGAGGTGCAGGTCTGTTTATGCGCAGAGCACTTGGGTGTGGCTGCTACCATGTGGTCTTGTCAGCTTGCCACTCCAGGCAGCTCTTCTGTATCAGTGAACTCGGGTAAGCATGATCCAGTCCTGGCATTCTCCACTGGAGACACCTGGTGTTGAGCTCCTGCCCTCCAAGTGGAGGCTGAGAGGAGGAACCTTGGGAACCCCATACATCTCAGCCACTCAGACTGGAAAAGAGCATATCCAACATGGATCTGGTTGGGCATTGAGAAATGATGGTAGCTTTCCCCTCCTGAGGAGATGCCATAACTCCCTTAACTGAGAGCGGCAGGGAGAGGGTGCCCTGTATTCTTGTCCATAGCTCCCTGGGTAGGGCTCCCATCATGGTGAATCGAGAGTGGAGGAAACAAGTCAAGGCTCAAATGCCACAGACTCTCACTGTTCCTAAGGACATTTAATAGATTGATTTATATAAATTTACTTCCACTTGATGTATACCATTCGAACAATTTCCTGAGTTTCATTAAACGAGGCTTTAATTGGCTGAGTTTTTAAAATACTTTATTTACCAATTGTGATTATTTCATTTGGGAAAAAGTCCATGCCATCAAAAGTGTGTGTCTCCAGATTGAATTGAATTATCCTTTGGTATCAGAATATTGTTATTTTATAGATAGAAAGATTGATTGTGTGTGTGTGTGTGTGTGTGTGTGTGTGTGTATTTTAAGCTGAAATGCTGAGCAATGGGTGGAGGGGGCTATTTGTAAGGCTGGTCAGTGGATTTTTTGTGAAAAATGCGACCCTGCATTTATTTTTAAATATTTTCTTAAGCTGCGACAAGCCTGTAAAAATTCTGTGCTCAGCTTTAGGTTTTTAATGCACATTTGACTGTAATGTTAATGTTTTCCGTGTTGCTTGTCGTTTTGTCCGTTTGTTGTTTTCACTCTCTCCAACCTACAGAGAAGAGGAAAACCAGCCTGCTGGACCAGCTGACCAACACCAGTGGGACCGTCATTGGCGTGACTTCCTGCATCGTGATCATCCTCATTATCATCTCTGTCATCGTACAGATCAAACAGCCTCGTAAAAAATATGTCCAAAGGAAATCAGACTTTGACCAGACAGTTTTCCAGGAGGTATTTGAACCTCCTCATTATGAGTTATGTACTCTCAGAGGGACGGGAGCTACAGCTGACTTTGCAGATGTGGCAGATGACTTTGAAAATTACCATAAACTGCGGAGATCATCTTCCAAATGCATTCATGACCATCACTGTGGATCTCAGCTGTCCAGCACTAAAGGCAGCCGCAGTAACCTCAGCACAAGAGATGCTTCTATCTTGACAGAGATGCCCACACAGCCAGGAAAACCCCTCATCCCACCCATGAACAGAAGAAATATCCTTGTCATGAAACACAACTACTCGCAAGATGCTGCAGATGCCTGTGACATAGATGAAATCGAAGAGGTGCCGACCACCAGTCACAGGCTGTCCAGACACGATAAAGCCGTCCAGCGGTCAGTATCAATAGATTTTTTGATGACAACTATAACCTGAGGACTGAAATGCTTCCAGAATGTTGTCTTCTATTTTGTCTTCATATTTCAGTTTCCCTTTAATTAATGATTTAAACCATAGTTTTCCAATATTTTCCTCTTCTTTTTTCCTTACTGCTATCCATATTCTTCCTAAACCTCACATATATGTGCATGGTATGTATATTTGTGTGAACACACATGTACACAGAGACCAAAGATACTTTATTTCTAAACATATACACATTAATTAAATTATGACTTTTAATTAATAATACAGATTTATATTGCACACTTCCTTCCATGTGATCATTAATGTTTCTCTCATCAATATTTATATATTTTGAGTTATGAAATGATATTTGGAAGCAATTGCCTTACCAAGATGGCTCACCCATCTTGATGAACAATTTTAATCCCAAAATAACATATTTTTCAATATAATGTATTTATTTTTGGTAGAAACACAAAAATTCTTCTCTTTCACATGTACATAATATTTATATTAGGAATTGCATAGCATAGTATGATATACTTATCATTTACACCTAAATGTTGTAAGAGATAGTAGACACATTTGATTTATTTTCCTTTTACTATAAATACAGTATTTTCTATGTTGTAATATTAGCCTTAAAATGAGTGAAAGTTTTGAGTAAAAAAATTTAAATTTAGGAAATATCATTTTAAAGTCAGAACTCTTATCAACTTATATTTTGTTTTGCATGTTTACTAGCATTTAGTTTATTTTATAAATTGTGACATACTTTCTCCATTCATTACACATTCTTAAAACCTAAAATACTTTAGTTGATTTGATACGTTTTGCATGCTTACATAAGTCTATTTCCACAGTTTTCTGAATTTTAAAAATGCTTTTAAGTAAATATTTGTATACATATATTTTTTGTGCAAATAGTACTTTGTTGAGTGAAATAGCCATAACATTCCAGGTTCTGCCTCATTGGGTCTCTAAGCAAACATGAATCTGAATACAACACAACTAGGGTCTAAAAAGACAATTCAAGGTAAGCAGATGGCCTTGGTTCCTTCTCCTACTTTGTCGTATTCTGTTTTGTTGCAACTGTCTTGTAGTTTTTTAGGGAATGTGCTATTTATCCATTATTTCTTTAGATATGTGTTTCATAACATTTCATGATTAGAAATACAATGGGTTCAGTGTTCATAGGAGAGATGATTCTTGGGATACATATCTTTAAAACAAATGTAGTATTCTTACCATCAAGCATTGTACTGAAATATAATTTAGAAAGATATCAAATTAATAATCTATGTTTTACATGTTTTAAGGTAAAGATATCACAATTGATGAACTTTCTCCAAACAAATACTAAAAGAAACCTAAGGTTTTCAAACTAAGAAAATAGAATAGAGTATTCAGTCTCAGTATAGCTGAAATTAATAATTAAAACTGGTAACTACTCTCTTTATATAATTTGGCAACATTCTACTCAAAATTTATACACTAAATATTTTTGGTACTTATACAATTTGTGAACTCTTATTTTTGCATGAATATGTAGCTCAACTCATCAAAATTAAATAGAGCATGTTATGTCAGGTTTTATACTATAAAATTTGAATGCAAAAGGCTTCATTAACACCAGTTGTCCATGTGTACATCGATTTTGTCATCAGATATCACAATGGCTTTACTTTTTGCACTTGATAGTCTATATCTATATTAGCCTAATTTGTCTCCAGTTAAATTTGCTTGACAGCTAATCTCTTCTAAACTCCTCAACTATTCTTGAACTAGGTGAATGCATTTCCATGCTCTATATTACCTTAATAAATTGGTGTATTTGTATGCATTTTTCATTGGGAGAAAATGTTTTAACTGTTTTTTATTTTCAGAGAAGAACTATTTATACAAACATGGGGACTGTGAAAAGAAAATTCTGTAGTGAATTGTGAAAAGTGGACATGTTTCTAAATTCATTCCACTGCCTTTATCCAAACTTAAGAATTGCAGACATTTGTTATTCCTTCGGCAAGACATCCCCGCTGCACAATGACATGTTCATTTCGTAATTTGGTTGCTGGCCACCAAGTGCTCCTTAGTTTTTAAATACATTTTGAGATTTACTGGAAACTTGAAGAAGAAATTAGTTCCCGATTAAGACTATCCCAAGTTTATTTTTATTGTCAGTTTCACTTTTGTTTCTATGTTGTTTTATGTCTTTGTTATATAATTGTACATTGTGTGATATGTGAAAAAAAACAGGAATTTGGATGAACCTTGTGTTACATGTACATTGTTTTCATTATATAGACTGCTTGAGAATAGTGCGTTCCTGAATGATTTTGAACATGCTACAGTGAAAAGTGACCGTGGACCATGGAATCACCAGCTAGAGGTTATGGACTATACACACCTATTATTATATTCTGATTAAATGCAGCAAAAAGTAACAAGTAAAATTACTAGATTGCAATAAAAAATTTCATTTTTGGTCTTTCCTATATATCCCCAATTTTTCTTTTTTGTTTATATTAAAGGAAGTACTGAGTTTCAGAAATCCTTTTTGAAATCAGGTATTTTACCATTCATACTCTACAGTAGAAATGTTTTTGATTAAGCACTCAGCAATATGACCAAATAAGCAGTTTGAGGAAACACCCTGCATGTCAGTACTGGATATTTGAGCTGGGAAAATATCCTTTTTGTTAGACACATTGTAAAAAGCATGCATTGTCAAATACTGTTGTTACTCTTTCATTTCTTTATGTCATATGCTTGCTACTTATGACTTTTTATATAAATATATATAAAATGTATAATAATTTCCTAATTTGAGTTAAGAGAAATGTTTTCTTCAATTAGAGTGAAAAAAAACTGACTTACATAAATACGCATTTTATATCAACTCTTTCCACCTTTTAGGGTACAGGATATCCTTCAGTATTGAGGTTTACTTCCCCCAAATATTTGGCTTCTAAAAGTTTAGGGGAATATGTTCTTCTTTTAGAATAGGAAAGTCTTTTTTTTTTTCTTTTTTTTTTTACTGTTTTAAAATCACAGGTCCTTCTATGAACTATATTACACTATTCTGACTTACTCTTCTTCTCAGGCACACATAATACACCTGAAAGCTTAGTGATTATAATGTGTTTAACATAAAGTAAAATCCTAAACTATATTTTATTGCTATTATGTACACATTCTGTAATGTTTGATTTAGTGAGCAGTTATTTTTTAAATATTTAATGTATAATCTTACAAAATGAATTTGAAAATAAGAATTCTATCAGTATATATGCTTATCAGCTTTTTCAAAACTACTGAATTCTGCAGGTTGAAAGAGTTCTTTCCGTCCACTAACAGAACAATCTGGTTTACTAAAATTTAAAATTTGCAATTCAAGCAGGCTTTGCAAACTAAATAGGCAAATCACTGTCATACATCCCTATTAGGAATTCAATGTTATATATATCACAAAATAATTAAATAGAAAATAAAATAAAATTTTGTAATAGAAAAATCAAATTATCCCAGCTATTATAAACACTCTATGTTGAAAAAATGTCAAGCCACACAATCACTTCAATGAATCTGATAAGCTGGGGAATACGGAAAAGATATTGATCATGACAAATAAAGATTATTTTTCATTGTTATGCTACATATTTTATACATATTCCTTGTGATAAAATCTATTATTTTTATTTAGCTTGACTAGTTTATTTATTACCATGTTTTTTTTCTTTGCCCTTTAATTCAAAGTTAATGCACCAAAGATTTTTAAAAAATGATTAATCGTATCTTATATTGCTTTCTCTATTTAGAAATCTTCAGAAGACTCCTTTCCCTTTGAATGATAATCTCAAAAGTATGATACACCTTTCAAGGCTTTATGTATAACAGCAATAAAAGTGGTGAAATAAGTTAGGTGAATGGTTTACTATACATTTGCTTTATATCTGTCCGATATGTTCATCCCCTTCCAGTTTCTCCTAAATATACAGAATGCTGACTGCCTGCTTCAAAGATATTTCCACTGGAAATCCACTAATGGAGACTTAAAAATAATCCACTAAAGTATAATAATCAATATGAATAGCTCACACATATTTAATACACAGCAGCTTCATGGGAAAAATATTTTAAATGAAGAACAAGCCTCCTCAGTGATAACTCTAAAATTATTCAACAATGTACTAATCATAAAACAAGATAATCATAAAAAAAGACTAATCATAAAACAAGATAATGCCAATGACTGGGAAGGGTCTGGAGGTTTTCTCTGCTTCTGGCATTCACTCCAGATGCTGGATCTTGGGAGTACAGGATTCTATCAGAGCTGGGAGACGGTCTCTTAAGGGCCCTGGGGGTGCTTTTTTATCAGCCAGAATTGAGATATGTCAATATACTACAAGCTATTTAGTAGCTATATCAGACCTTATCACCTGAATGCAACCTTTGGCCTAAATTTTAAAGGTGGTGACACACATAGATAGCAATGAAATGTTTCAAGATTAAGTCATGTTGTTTTAATAAATGATGATTTTTTTGATAAAGTGAATTCAAATTACCAACCCAAGTGCTTTACTGATTCAGTAAGCTGGCTTCAGATAATGTATAAAGTTAGCCTACTTTGTTAATTGATAAAGCTATACTTTTTCATTTTATTTTTTCAAGTTTTAATTCACTTTTCCAAATCATGGTGGCATATACTCACATGTCATGCTTATGAAGCCCACATTAAGCTTTGTATCTCTGTCCAAATGTATTGTGGTTGCCTAATTTCAGGGTTCTAGTTTGGAAATCTGATTTCTTTTGTACCTGTTTTTCTAATATATACCAATTTTAAGCATTATCTTGCAAAATACACATAGGTGGAGTTTGATTTTCCATAATTAACTCAAATTTGTTTTGTAGCTAAAATGTGGTTATCCACATAATTGGAGATCAGCATCTTTGGGCTTTTAATGGAGAACACATCGCATTGTGATGATGCTGGCTTTTCTGTTTTACGTTACTTTTGCTCTATAGTTATTTTGGGGAGTGTAATGGCTCCGTAAGTAGTGACCCTCAGTGTTTAGTAACTTAGGTCATTGCATGACGTTGATATTCACATAGCTTCTGTATCATTTTTTTCTGTATTTTTTCCTTAGGAATTTAATTTGGGTCTTCCTCAAATTTTACACCTTTTAAAAAAATTCCATGAATGTGTTTTTCCCAACCTCAGAATATCATAATAAATTACAAAATATGACCCTGGTTCCTATTACCTTTATCAAAATGACAGCAATTAATTTTCTGTTGCTTTGTCAGTGACATAATAGCATCTTATGAAGTTTGTATATCTCTGTGATGAAAATGAGTCATGTCAGATTCCCTCTCTGAAGGGAAGTAAATAAACATTTGTATAATTCTCTGAATTATAAATTAATATGTGTGGAAAGGTGAGTTAGGGATTTGACTAATTGCGCTGAGGAGAGTTAGCTCCAGTGCCATTTTTTCTCTGTGCACTTTTTTCTCCATGGGTTCATTTCTATCTGTCGCAGTCTAGCACAAAGGCAAGAAATTGTAAAATAGACCCAACAACAAAAGAAACAGGTCTTAAGTTAACTGTCAATCTCTTAAGCATTTACTTAATATTGCCCATGCCCATCTTAAAGGTTTAATAAAGTAGCAGAATAAAAATATATTGTTGAAATAGCCAGAGATGTTTTTATACAAAATCCCATTAAATAAATCTGAGCCCCTTTGTTAATTTAGAAGTATCATGATTCATTTTATTAATAAACTTGTTTTCATTTTATTAAAACAAATTTCTCTGACTGACTTATATCATCAAAACAAATCAAACAGGGTAATAAAAATAACAACTATAGGTGACTGATGTCCAACACTCATAACAACTCATCATTTTCTCGTAGCCTCTGGTTCTGTACTTTCTCGTGTGTTGTTACAGAGGTCAAAGCTCTCTTAACATGCCTCTAGTTCCTCGGAGGTAGGAAAAATAAACTCAGCCTGCTTTAGACCTGTGTATTTGCTTGAGTTGGTTTCCAGAAAGAGTATGTTCTTATTCCTGAAACAGTATGATCATAGAGTTAAACTTCTCCTTTCTATCCACGACTACTGTGCAGTCAACATGTTCTTTCTGTTCCCAGCTTCTCCCATCCTTCCAACCTCTGAGGCATGCTATTTTACAGTGGTCTGTTCTTTGAAAAATTGTTTTTGTGCCCTCTCTTAATAGTCACAGATACTGACACAAAACTTCAAAATGACCAGAAAACATAATGTATAAATTATTTAAAATAAAACATTTTTTTATATCTCATCAAATTTGTACTCTTTATTCACTTTCCCATTGAGCGAGATGTCAGTATAGCTAGGCTTTGTTGAACCTGCAGTCTGTCTGCCAAGCTTCTTCCTAAGTACTTTGAGGGTAAAATGGAAGGAACACAATTATAGAGCCTTGTAGAAGGCAGACTGCTTACAGGAGCTGTATAAGGAAAATGAAGCCCAACATCATGTGCTATGTTGCCCATCTTGAAAAACCGATTACACATCCCTGGTTAACTCCTCCATCATCTCCCATGGAAGATTAAAAAAATTCAAATGTTAAGATAATACAATATATATGATGTTTTAAAGTCAGGAACTTTGTAGCAGATATATGGGAATATAGGTATCTTTTTAAGAAGATAAAGAGAGGCTCTGTGAATTAAGACAATTGTCAAATAGTAGTACAGGGAGAAATTTCCACCTAGAATAATGAAAGCAGATGTAGTCTTGGAAGATCATTTACTAATTGGTCGGAGGATAGACAGAAAGAGTAATACTAAGTGTAGTTAAGAGAGTAAGTTTGAGTTTACATCATGATTTCCGAGTGCATGGAATACCATCCAAATGAATTTATACTTTATTCAAGGGAGAATATGTTAATATCTTAGCAGAGAGGGGCTTAAGATTTCTACTTTCAGTAGATGCCTCTGACAGGTATATTTGCTAAATTGAATGGGAGTGAAATACAGTAAAATAAAAACTGTAGAAACAAGAAATGAAAAAGAATAACTGGCAGATTGTTAGCTATCCAGGAATATTTGGCTGGATTTTTATTTATACTATACTTTATTGTTTCAAGGTTAAATTTGACTCGTGAATATACTGAGTGATACATGCTAAACACAATTTTGAGTGTTTTACATGTAATTTTTTTCCTTGGTTATCTTAGCAATTCTATGACTAATCAATAATAATGGTATTTGTTATTTATTGTACAGACGAGGAAACCAAAGAGAGTTTTAGTAACTTTTTTTAAGATTATACAATAAACAATAATAAATCAAGCTTTGAAACAACCTGACCAACCACAGAATCAACCAACACTCTTCACCAGTGTGCAGTATAACCATGTTAATATCCAACATAGCATGTACTGCTGAAAGAAGTTGATACTTACTCATATTAATCCCATAGTTTTGTTTCCTCTTGTAAAAATATGTATTCTCTCCACCTTATAGCGTGTGAGGATATGACCATGCATTGGAAGATATTTTCTATATCCTATAATGCATTATAAAAATAAATCATTTTTCCTAAATCGTGTGTAAACTTCATTTTATTATCGACATGAGATGAAAGTATCTTCTATAAAGAGCGGCAGTGTAGAGTAACCTCTCTCTGGACTTGTCCACAGAATATGACTTTCTGAACCCAGTGACTCTCTGGATACTTCCTCCAATGCTATTTTGTTCCATCATTGCACTGAAATGCTGTTCATCACTGAATGATGAACATCATTAAATGCCAAAGCTCTGGTGGACAGCATTGAATGCCAGAGCTTCTGAGTAACCCCCAAAGCACTTATCATGAAGTAGACACAGAAATAGCAACACTGGAAAGCAAATCCTATGTGTCAGTCACAGATAATTATTTGGTATAAATTCACGTAATAGCATCCTGGTGGATAAGCAAGCAAGCAGACAGTTGTATCAGTAAACGCAGTTTCATAAGCAAGGTTACAACATGAAAAAGTGATATACTGCAGTGAAAATCAGATTTTAGTTTTATTTTATACTATTTGTGTGCTCCTTCAAAATCTGTTTGAATCCTCTGCATTTCACTTCCTTTTTTTGTTCGTTTCTTTTTTTTTTTTTTTTTGAGACGGAGTCTCACTCTGTCAGCCAGGTGGGAGTGTAGTGGTGTGATCTCAGCTCACTGCAACCTCTGCCTCCTAGTTAAAGCAATTCCCATGCCTCAGCCTCCCTGGTAGCTGGGATTACAAGTGTACACCACCACCCCTGGCTAATTTTTGTTTTTTTGGTAGAGATGGGGTTTTGCCATGTTGCCCAGGCTGGTCTCCTCAAGTGATCCACCCACCTCAGCCTCCCAAAATGTCAGGATTATAGATGTAAGCCATGGTGTCTAGCCCTTACCTTCTTTATTTGTAAAATAGAGAAGGCTACACCTAGTGAAAAAGGTTTCTCTTAGAATTAGAACTGGGCCGGACATGGTGATTCAACCTGTAATCCCACTTTGGGAGGCCAAGGCAGGTGGATCACCAGAGGTCAGGAGTTCGAGACCAGCCTGGCCAACATGGTGAAACCCCATCTCTACTAAAAATACACACAAGAAAAATTAGCCGGGCATGGTGGTGGGCGCCTGTAATCCCAGCTACTCTGGAGGCTGAGGCAGGAGAATTGCTTGAATTCAGAAGGTGTAGGTTACAGTGAACTGAGATGGCACCACTGCACTCCAGTCTGGACCACAGAGTGAGACTCCATCTCAAAAAAAAAAAGATTGAAACAGAACTGATGTGCACACACAAGCAATATGGGATCAGTGGGAGCGCAGTGGAGGCCAGGGTACCTACACTGGTGGTGTAGCAGTTTGCACTCCAGAGCGGGAAAAATGTCTCTTGTGTGTTAAAGTTTTCTGTTCCTGCAGCTCAGGCATTCCTAACAAAAATGATTGTCCTGTCTCAGTGATCCCAATAGCACTAGATAGTTCAGGAATAGACTTCACCTGTCACAGACACAAATGATTGAATATCAGTTTCTGAAGGATTATTAAGACAGGACCAAATGGGAAAACAAAAAATGTAGGGGCTAGTAAGGTGGGAATGAACCAGAGTCAGACACTGCCTAATAGCTTTCAGTGTTCCACCATACACTGTAGGAGAAGAATCATACTGGAAGAGGCACCAACACAGATATGCTATCAGGAATGTGTAGTTGAGAATTGCTAGTTTCTAGAATATGTGCTTGGAGACAGGCATCAGAACTGACCAAGCCAGGTATTCTTCAAAGTAACGAGGTGCATTGTACATAACTGGTAATCAATATGTGTTGTTACATGAGTGGAAAAATTACAATCGTTAAATTTCTTTATTCATCACAGAAGCTCATTCCTGACACTGCAAACTACTATCATTATAGAGAAGACCAGTTCTGCTATATCATGAGAACACATGGACATATAGATGGGACCCACACACCACTGGGGCCTCTCTGATGAGGGAGGGTGGGAGGAGGGAGAGGATCAGGAAAAATGACAAATGGGTACCAGGCTTAGTACTTGGGCGATGAAATAATCTGTAAAACAAACACCCAAGACAACAAATTTACACATATACCCTGAACTTAAAAGTCGTTTTTTTTTTTAAGACATAGTGGCTGTAATTGCAATAATTTCAGTTACCTTTTCTCTTTTGTCTACACTCACTCAATATTTTTATAAATATTTATTTTTGTTTATGTGAATTGCCGTAAGTGGGGAAAATGATGGTATTTTTGGGAGATAATTTAGCTACAGATTAGATACAAAGTTGTAAAAAAAAAAAAGCTTTGAAATTGCCAAGAAAGTTTTGTAATTTTAGTTGGTATTCACATTTACAATAATTTCTTTTCCACCTTCTTCCATAAGTGAATGCATTTGAAGACCTCAAAGACACATATTTTCAGTCAGTCTTATGAATCTATATTTAGAAAATTGAATCTGAAAAGCACAGTATTAAATCACTATTAACTTAGAAAAACAGAGAAGGGACCCATTTAAAAAATGAAGTGTGTTACTCTTGTCATTTTATATTAAAATATAAACCACAAAATATGTACTTCCTAAAATATAATTATGTCAATTATTTTCTTGTTACTATCTTTATAAATTTTTTTAGAAATATAACAATAACATTTTTAGTTCTCAAAGTGAATGTAGTTTTATTGTTCAAGTTGGAAAAAAGTTATTTTTCTAAATATATGTAATCACAACTATCACAAATCAAATTTATAATGTTAATTGAATGACAAAGGATGTACAAGATGTATGTTTTATTAATTTAAGCACAGAAAAGATGCATTACCACTTAGAGTTTCCTTTTTCTTTAGGATTATTATTCTAAGCAATTAACAATTATAGAGTTATGTTTCCTTCAAATATCTACAATTTGGGAAGTTCAGCTAGAATGCTATTCACAAATTCCATATTAACATGTTAATATAATTATTATTTTATTTATATTGTGGCCATATTCTTCTTTTTTTATTCATAGAGACATGCTCATTATAATGTAAAAGTTTCTGGGAATCCACCTAAGCAGCTTTTTTAGCCATATGCACAATGATGGGTGGTAGGCAAACTCCAGAATCCCAAGGAATTTTAACAGAAAATTGAAAATTGCAATTTTAAAACATCTTCTGCATTCTCACTCAAAATGAGAATGATAATCTATTTATATACATTCTATTCTCTATCAGCCTGATAATCTGGCTTTAAGCAATTTTAAATTTATCTATTTATTCATAATTTATTTGTTAATGGCTATTTTTTATTAAAAATCATTGAACAATATTTTGAAGAGCTATACCCCAAAGTAGTATGAATATATTTAATCTCTAGTACTCTGTATTCTGTTACCTTCATGAGTCTTTTTTTATAAATATGACTGAAAACAGCATTTAAATAACTGGGAGAGGGGAGAGGAATTTCAGGGTGTTCCAAATTATTAATTAAAATTGAATTTATCTTTAACAATATAATTGTTTTTCTAGCTCTAAAATCCAGCTATAAAGACAAAACACATCTTGGGACCATTAAAATTGTTCTTACATCATCATAACAAAGTAAGAAATTTGAATTTGTGTTAAACACAGCAGACACACATAGAGTTCAGGAAATCCAATGATAAAATAATCAGCTACTGGAAGATAAAAAAATATTAATTGGAGTAGAATAAAAACTAAACCAATAAATATATAAATTGCCTATTGGTTAAAAATATGTTGTTAAGAAACAAAACTCATCATTGCTTATCCGTATTTCCAACCAGATTTTGGATTCCA